AGCAAAGGGTCTGAATACTTATGACCATGTGATATTTCAGTTTCTCTTTTTTAATAAATCTGCAAAAATGTCAAAAATTCTGTGTTTTTCTGTCAATATGGGGTGCTGTGTGTACATTAATGAGGAAAAAATGAACTTGAATGATTTTAGCATATGGCTGCAATATAACAAAGAATGAAAAATTTAAGGGGGTCTGAATACTTTCTGTACCCACTGTACATGATGTCAAAGTAAATGGCTGCCTATGACAATGAAGTAATGTTTTTGATTGCTACCAGGAACTGATTTAACAACAATGACTTACAGTATATCGTTTTGAATGTGAAAGCATATTTGTCATATGAGTGTCTGCTGATGACGCCATGTTTGAGATGAAGTATGTGGTTTAAAATCTTCACAACACACACAGTCCGACACGATCTGAGTCATAAAAAGAGTGACCTTGTTGGTTTTTACTGTCTGTAGACATATTACAATGAAAGCATAATGGCTTCTATTGAAATAAAGCAACAGCTCCATCATGTCTGTTAGCCTTTATGATACCTTAACAGTACATTTTCATATAATGGATAAATAAGTTGCATAAGAGAAACATTGCATAGTATTCTTCTTTCTCAGGTTTTAAATGCACACCTTTACTCTGTCAGCTCTTTTAGAGCCACACAAATTCAACTTCACTGTCCCACAGTGTTAAGGCAAATGTCAGACAAGGTTATAATCACAGCAATACTACACTAGCAGTGGTTTATTTTTAATGACCTACTGGAAGTGAAAGAAATGTGGCTCATGAAAGAGGAAATGTCAAGCGTCACAGACACACCTAACTGTTCATGATCTGCACTATTGCAGTGTTGTCAGCCACAACATGGTTCCAGGAACTTCTCGGAAATGTATAGTTAGAATAAATTTCCAGACAAACAGAGTAGACAAAGACTAATGTAACATTTGTTCAGTTCATGACCTTTGAAATTATTCTTTAAAACTGTGGTTGCAGAGTCAAAAACACAATTCTTATTGACAGAATTAGACAGCATAACAGTTTTTTGGATAGTTAATGCAAATGCACTTTTCATTTAAAGGGTTTGTATAAGGAATTTAGTATACATTTAGTTGTATACTGTCTGTATGTGAAGTATACTTGCACTAACAAAACTCCTAAAGGCAACAAAGGCAAAAAAGTTGACATGAATTGACATTAAAGTAATAAAAGGCTTATAGATTTCATAGGCTGTGTTCAACAAG